CCAGCGTAAAATAGCAGCTTAATGCACCTGTGTTTCGTATGGTGAGTGTAGAGAACCGGAGACCCTTTTTACTGGAAAAGAGGCATTCCATTTTAGTCCTCATGGGTGCAACGCATTTGCATTTTGATTTGTAATCGATGATAGATGTAGATGTCTATGGGCCACAGCAATCACTTACCATTAGGTGGACTGTGTGCTCGTTTTTCACCCTATCCTATAAAAAAAATCTGGCAATTCTTAAGTCGAACGCCCACCGCAAACTAAACTAACTTAGTTTATGTTAGCTCACATAGCTGAGCCAGTTTTTCATACACACATAGCTTAGCTGGAATAGTTTGCGGTGGTCGCACATGTATGGAAAACTGGCTCAGCTATGCGAGCTAAGAATAAACTAAGTTAGTTTAGTTAGTTTAGTGTCAAATAATATACATTTGACACCTGTTGTTAGAACTTAATTTGCTTATTTCCGTGTAATGAAATAAAACGATGTGTCATGCCTAGTTTGAAGAGCATTTTTCACCACCACTCCCAGCATCACCACACCAGGAACGACACACCACTCTCGATAATACGACACGTGTTTCGCCTCAGGCGAAGTGGAATGCGGTGGCTGATTTAAATACATATTTCATCACACGGAAATAAGCAAAGGTCTAACAACTTCAATATTATGGATTTCCGTAAAGTAACGTAAATTAAGTAAGCGTAATTCTATTAACTATGTCAAATCTAGTTTGAACATTGCATCTTCTATCAATTTATATTTTGTAATAATAAACATTTATTAGTTATTTACTTTATTGGCATATAAATTTTAAGCAATCTATATTTTAGATACAACACATTATATCTAATAGTTATATAGTGACTATCTTACAGTGTTACTTTACAAACATAAAATAAGCTCAGTGAATAAAAAAAAATTACTTCAAATTTTAATCCCAAAGTAATAACGAAAATATTTAAAATATACATACTTAATTGATATTCTCATTGACCGATAAAATAACACCAATAACATTAAATGAACACTTATAAAAGTTAACAAATCTTTAAGTGCTATAAAATAAAGCGAAAAAAACAGTGGACAATAAGGGTACGTTAATCTATTACTAAAGTAATTGATACTGTTTATTTAAACGTTATAATATTCTTAATTAATTCAAGTAAAAAAAAATATTTTCGCTTGATACGTAGGAATAATAAAATTATATTTTACTTTTTAGAAATCGGGAAAAATCCTATTAGTATTTAGTATTTTTGCGTTTTCAAATTTCTATTATAAGTTTAAAATTTTATTACAAATAATGTAAGTTAAATAAAACAACAAATTGGCCAATTTTGCAACATTAAAAAGATAACTTAGAAATATATTTTGGATCGCGCCATTTTTAACCTAATAATATAGTTAAAACAATAAAAACATTGATAAAATTTAGTAGACGACTATGTTCATAAAATATTTTCGAGAATAACCATTTTATACTAGAATACATGAAAATAGGAATATGAAAATATGCCACAATTTTTAATGTGCTATTAAAGAAAAATATTAAATAATTTGTTCTTATCCAAAGATTTTACACAAAACTGTAAAATTCTTCCATTAAAGAAAAAACTAATAATGCCTATGTCGTTAAATTTACAGATACCTAGTTTCAGATTTATAATTTGATAGCAATAAATCAATCATTGAATTATTGTTACTATTCATGCTTGTATAATTATCGTAACACTGTTTACTGTTAAACCACCTGCACTATGAAGTCTAGGTGCATTATTGTATTGATTTTGATTTATTATTATTTTTAAATACACAATACAAAAATAGATATTTATTACCTCGACGGAAGCGAGATTTTAATTATATCTTTGATTAATAATTATTTAAAGGAGATATATTCCACAAGATTTAGTTATACCCTGTAGGTATTTTAGTGTTAATTCAATTAAATGCACTACTAACTTAATGACAGTAAAATATTTTTAAATAATGAAATGAAATTACAACATTGTCATCGATTACAGCTGCTCTAGAGAAATATTTTCTTTTTAATCGTAAACAATATAAAATTCTAGAATTTGCTAAAAGTTGAGTAAAGCCGCTTAAATTCACCGCGACCTTGCAAATCTAACCATCAAGGATATGGTGTGACAGGAGCTACTATCAAGAATTTTATATCCACGATAAATCGGCAATTTGAATGCTAATCGAGTTATCATAAAGCTTTTCCTATTCAAAACTGGCACCTTTCAATCAACGTTGATACGTAAACTATTTGCTATTGATTTTTTTTTGCATTTAGTTACGATCAAGGCTGTAACAAAAACGAAAGTCGCAATACGACTCCAAAGATAAGTGATCGATTAGTTTTTGATACCAAATCTAACAAATCAGATATTAGGAATTTACTTTCACATAGATTAAAGAAATAATAAATAAATTATTTTTAATTATAATAATAAAAACACTTTTATTAATACTATAATAAAGATCAAAATTTAATTTTTGGAAAAATAAAAAAAGTCTTTATATGTGCCAATGTCATTATTAAAGATTTTTTTTTTCAATAACAGTTTACGAGTACCGTCAGGCCGGTTCTAATAAATTTTCAACATCTACTAGACGCAACTACCAACAACTAGCAACACCCATGAACTAAGACGACACTTAGGGTATCTCTTCAACACAATGAAATCAACCAACATCAACCTCCTCATAATTGCAGTAAAAGTACTATGAAGTACGATTTAAAACAAGATTTTAATTTCCCATTTGATCTGATACGGCTCCCTGTATTTTATATGTAATACATGGATTAAAATAACATTTACACACATTCTTAATTTTACATGACTAATCGCCAAATACTCAAACGCTACTCAATTTCAAGATGTCGTCAAGTCTCGTGCTGTTACAGTCATTTTGATCATAAGTAATAGAGACAGCACGAGACTTGACGGCGTCTTGAAATTGAGTAGCGATTGAGTATTTGGGTATGAATGTTATTCAATTGTTGGAAGGTTAATCCTCATTCTTGTTGTGTATCGATTTTATTTTATTGTATCGTTTTTTTTATTTAGTAAAAAAATTATTTACTATACGCAGACCAACAAAAAAAAAAGACGTAGCTCTGTGTACATTTCAAGTGACGCAAAACCAAGCCAAAACCATGCTCAACTTATTATAAGGATATGAAATGCACGAACCATGTGTACGTGCGTGGCATATCCCACACATGTGCATCTACTAACGATTGCAACCAACATGGTTTTAGGTTCATATGTGTGATAAAGAGAGATGTGTGCTTTAGTAGAAGTCAAGAAGCAGAACATGGTTACGGCGTTACTTAAAATATACATAACGCTACATGTATATTTCTAAGTTGGTTAATATAATAACAATTTGCTTTTGTGTCTACAATGACGTTATCCCTGATTAATTGCAGATTTCAAGTTCTCTACAAAAATATTATTTCTGGTGTTACTTATATCGTTTCAAAAACTTGGGGCAAAATTGTTAGTCCCGATAGTAGCAATAGTAGTTTACAATTTATTCACTATCGACAACTTAATAGCAATAGACCAGGAAAGGCCCAACTAGGCTTGGATAAAAATATCGATATATCGAAATTTCCATATTTAACAAAAACATCGATATTTTTAATGACGATATATCGATATTTAATTTAAAAGTATCGAATTCGTATCAATTTCGATATATTTTATAACGCAACTCTGGTTTCGTAACATGAATAATAGTTTCCTTTTTGTTTTCGCCGTCCAAAATTTCTGTTAAAAAATTCTGGCTACTCATCCTACTATATCATGCAAAACATGACAATATATCGATATTTATCACGCGATAATTATCGACGTAGTTTAAAAATATCGATACGATGAATATCGATATTTTTTTCACTTGCCCATTCCTAGGGCCAACCATATCCCATCAAAGAAGTCATATTGAAGTAAATATGAAATCAATATAGATTGTTGCTTGTCTTCTTCACAACACACTCGTAAACATTAAGATTTCTTCAATGTTACCATTTATTTTATTAAATCAGAATGTATCAGTCTTACTTTACCATAGATGAATAAAAATTAATCTTACAGAAAACTTTCGTTGGACCATTACACTATATTTAACGCACTATACTTAAAATGAAAAAATATATTAATAACTCAGCTACTCATGAAAATTAGTGACAAAAGAAGAAAAGAATGTCTCATCGTCGCTTAGATGCAGTATTGTCGGATTTGTTATTTATGATTATATCCATAAATTATTTATACCCATACTATACAGATCTATATCTTACCAAATTCATTTAAACATCAGATGACATTATTATTATTATTTTTAAATTGTCTATGTTTTGAGCTAGTAACACACTAATATAACATACCGGAATGAAAAAATGAGATAATATTACTTTATAGCTTTTAGCATGTTGATAATTAGTATTTAAATAAAGAGATCTTCTAATAGTATATCCGAAGGCATTTAATAACAAATGATGCATTTTATAGTTTGTTTATATTTATAAATAAATTATGATTAAAGTTTCTCCAGTAATTAGTATGGACTTGCAGATTTTGGGTACTGGTTACACAATGCCAGAGATACGTACTATAAAAGTGTTTAACTTTGAGCAATGTTATTTAAAATACATATGTACAACACCAATCACTATTGATCATAACACCCCTTGGAATATTTTATACATAAAATAGGAACAAGTTACATTTTAAATTGTGCTAATGCAACAAATTTTTATTTAGCAGATTTTGGATTTAAGCATTACTATTTTTTCCGTTTTAAGTATAAATACGTATAATTTCATATACACAAGAAATTTATTTATTGATAAATAAAACATTTCACGAAACATTAAGAAAAAAAATGTATCACTGGCAGGGTGTGGTCCTACCTTAACCATCATTTAGCAAATCTCGATTCTACGCCGATCCGAATAGGGTTGAGTTCCCAGTGGCTATTGTTCGCTGGTGCCGGGCTTGGGCTTGGGCGCGAGCAGCACGCTAATGTCCCACACCTTGATGACGCGGTCCTTGCCGGCCGTGCACATGCGCCCCGTCGCCTCGTCCACGTACAGCGACGCCACCGCGTGCTTCATGTCGTGGAACGATGCGAGGGACTCACGACTGCAATCATAGGTTTCATTATGCACATTTTGTACTTCATTAACATTCATTTTTGATCCACTATCCTATATGATCCAGGGGGTGTCATGAGAGGCGGCGGAGAGAAATGAAACAGAAGATAGGTAGCGGCATCTTCCCAATTACAATTCAAAATAATAAAAAACTGTCGTAGCCAACTCTCTGCTTAAGCATGGTATTGATATGTTGTAATGGTGGGTAGTGATGGCTGCACTAGTTTCCAAACACACTAAACTTTTAATATATGGCAGGGATGTCTAGATATTTGTCAGGGTAAATATTACCCTTGCAATGAGCAGTATTAAAATGTAGATAATTATGCAAAATGTATTTTGCACAAATGAGACGTAATCTGTTGGGTCGAGTTCCAGTCCATTAGGACTGGAACGTATTGTGTTGAGTCGTGTACCTATTGTGGTACACCACAACGTGTTGTTTATGTCGGGTACTGTGTTGTACTGGGACGTGTTACTTCCCGCCATGAACTGTGGTTCACTGTAATGTGTCGTGTATCGTCTTAAACGGTGGTTGTACTGGAACATGTCGCTTCCCGTCATGAACTGTGGTTCACTGCAATGTGTAGTGTCGCGTCGTGTTCTGTGGAGCACTAGAACGTGTCGCTTCCCGTTATGAAGTGTGGTTCTGAAGTGAACTGTGTCGTGTGGTGCACGGGTAGGAGCGAGGTCGCGCGGTGTACTCACGGCTCGTGGCGCAGCGTGTCGTAGCAGGCGGTGCAGACGCGCTGCGGGAACTCGAAGCCCATGACGGGCAGCGGCAGGCGGTGCGGCGAGCACGCGCCGCACACCGCCGCGCCGCACCAGCGGCAGTGGTGCTGCCGCAGACCTGCGCGCCAACACCGCCATCAAACCTCCAAGTACACTTTGGATCCAAGCACAAGGCGACGATTGCCTCCCATCCAAAGCTTTATCTGCCACCAGGGCGGCGCCACTTACGAATGAGGTGAAATATTTGACAGATTTCATAGCGGGGTATGTTAATTTATTACAAAAGTTTAAATAATAATGTTTCTTTCGATTAGGAATGAATAAACCAAAGTACGTATATTGCTAAAAGTTAAAGAATTAAAAATGTGGAAAAAATTAAAACATACTACTACACATTACACCTACAACCGATTTTTTTTATTTAAAACAAAAATTATTTGCCCTCATTGCCTTCCGTCCCTTATCCAATGGACGGTCAGAGAATGTTTCATCCGATCAACAGCCGCGGGAATAACTCACCCAACTGCTTTTTCTCCATCATGGCGCGCACGTTCCATATGAAGGGCGCGCGGCACAGCTGGCACAGGTCGGCCTCGCGCCAGGCGGGCGTCTCGCGGCGCCGCACGCCCATCTCCCACACGCCCAGCGCGCCGTCCTCGCCCGCCGACACCAGCCGCTCGCATCCGCCCACGTACCACAGCCCCGTCACCTTGTTACTGCCACACCGCGCCACAACTTTATTCATTCTCATCGACAACATACAACAAACAGCCCACCATGTCATCTCAGGCCTCCCCCAAGGAATGCCACAAAGTATTGTATTGCATTCATCATAGCACAAAGTACAGTCCTCAATCACATGCATCCATAGACTTCTTGCATCTCTCACTAGTTCGTCACTCCATTTAGAGGGGGACCGCCCTACAATCCGTCTACCGGTACGAGGTTGCCACTCGAGAACCTTTCTCCCCCGTCGTTTGTCGGTTCCTCGAGCTATATGCCTGGCCCATTGCCACTTCAGCTTACTAATCCGTTGGGCTATGTCAGTTAATCTGGTTCTAGTACAGATATCCTCGTTAAGGATTTACACCGCCCTACACTTCACCTACCGATACGAGGCTGCTACTCATGAATCTTTATTCCGCTGTTTATTGTATACATACAACACCTTCGGGGCTGTGCTGTGTGACAATCTATGAGGGAGGCCTGAATTTAACAGAGGACTTGTAACGGACTACAATGATGCTGATATAAATAAAGGAAGTATACGCAACAATAACTTACCTATGTCCTTGCAATTCATAGGCTGTTCCCTTCTGTCCACCAATGTCCCAGACAATAATACTTTGGTCAAACGAACCACTAAATAATAATTGAGGTATTGGGGCCCAGTTTAACACTCGAACGGAGCTGAAAACGAAAAATTGTTGCCTTAATAGCTGAAAAGACAATATAAAAAATGCAATGGCAAGCCATCACATGCCTTATTTTGAGATGAAAAAAGTGACGGATTTTCGACAGTGGTATCACTTTCCTGGTGTTGGGTTGGGATTATGAAAGTTTATGTGTAGTAGTAGGAGAAAATAGGGCACACTATTATAGGACGGAGCGTCAAGCTCGTCACACAAAGTAATATTATACAATATGATTTTGTAATGTGGATAATTTAAGTAGCAAACAATATCCAATTTTTATTAAAAATATAATAAACATATTTTAATTTAATAAACACCTTCAAATTATGCTTTATAGCTCATGAGCTAAACTCGCAAATATGAATCACTTATCGAAATCATCAATCACATACTTATGTCATTTATTGCACATGTGAATCACAACTTTTATATTATACTTTTTGAACTAAGAGTTTAATTTGAAATTGCTAAAATAATTATTTGGAAACTTTTTCCTTTAGTTTTCAGCTGATTATGTTTTGTCCAGGTTTATTTCCAGTGGAAGTACAAGTATTTATTATTTAATTAAATGGTTACTTGCATATTTCCTTAATTCTTTTTTATTTTTTATTTTTTACAGAATAAGGGTGACAAATGAGCACACAGTCCAACTGATGGTAAGTGGTTGCTGTGGCCTATAGACATCTACATCTATCTTCATTTGCGAATTAAAATGCAGATGCGTCATCAGCCGTGAGGACTAGGATGGAATGTCTCTTTTCCAGTAAAAAGGGTCTTTGGTTCTCTACATTCACCATACGAAACACAACAGCATTAAGCTGCTATTTTACGCTGATATTCTGTGAGAGCGTGGTCCTTCCCCGGTCTAGCCGACCCGTTCGTGCTTCAACTATACTACTAATATAGCTGCAGCATGGCTCTACCACGCATAATTATTTAAAACCTAAAAAGGAAGAAGTATAATGAATATAATATACACAATATATGATATTATTACATAAAACCGTTGGTACGAAAACAGATACAGTAATATGTAGATGTAACGGTTTACAAAAATCATAGCTCACCCTGTATGCCCTTTTAAAGTAGTGACTAGTGTTGCGCCATTGTTATCCAATTTTAACATAGTTATCAGGCCGCTGTAATCACCGACGAACGCGTATTTTGACTGTGAGTCGAATCTGATAGATGCGTTTAGGAAATACAAGCTAATTAATTTAACACTTTTTCTTCAGTCCTAAAACATTCCGCAGCTTTCTAGTAATAAACTTTATGATTCTGTCACCGGTCTACGTATATTACATCTGTTATATATGAGATGCTTATACCAAAATTTACCAGAGGAGTTCAGACCAGCGGACCACCCTAAAGTTGCAGCGTATTTACGTCCTACTGCTGGGCACAGGGCCTCCTCTCATTTCTGAGAGGGTTTTAGGGCAAGGAAATGTTCGCCGCGCTGCCCCAATGCGTGTTGGCGAACTTCACATGTCTTCGAAATATTTTTTTCTTATTTCTCAGACATGCAGGTTTCCTCACGATGTTTTCCTTCACCGCGGAGCACGTGGTAAATCAGCACTTAAAATTGCAATTAACAATTTCATTGGTGCCGGCGGGGATTGAACCCGGGTTGCTCGAGTACTGTGAAGCTTACAGCGAGCGCTAACCATCTGAGCTACCGCGGCTGAGCTACAGCGGACCACCCTATTACGCTTCAAATCTTGAACAGATTTCTGCCGTCATACAAAAGTGCGTGCACTCTTGTGTTCCCACCTGAAGGGTAAAGAGAGCAAGTAAAATAACAGGCTGTGAGGCATTCCGTCTTAGTTCTTACAAGTGATCACGCAACCGCATTTTGATTACTAATCGAGAATAGACATAGGTGTTTATGAACCACAGCATCCACGTACATCAGGTGGACTTTTTTTTATAGGATAGGGTGGCAAACGAGCACACAGTCCACCTGATGGTAAGTGGTTGCTGTGACCCATAGACATCCACATCTATCCTCAATAAAGAATCAAAATGCAGATGCGTCTTCACCCGTGTTCAAATCTATGCCTAAAACCTTAGGCTTAGACATAGATTTTAACACATATTAATATTTTCAAGCTACATATGTTGAAATTAATATACACCAAAAGGCAAGTAGAAATACTCTTTGTAAAGGATACTGCAAAGCGGTGCACCAGGCCTCGAACGAGTAACCACCGATCCGACGTCCCGTTTCACTGCAGTGGTACGCAAACAGCTTGTCTCGACTTACAGAAAGCACCCATTCACAGCTCAGTGAGAACACCACAGCTGTAACACGGGCCGTGTGTGCCAAGTACTCGCGACTCTGTTTAACAATATAAAAATAAAATATTCCTTTGCAGAACTGTGTGGTAATCGCATAAGACAATATATCTAACTTTCGAGTCTGTTAAAGTGCCAGGACATTATAAGAGTAGTCTATCGCGAAATTATTATATCATTGCCAACAATAGAGAAATAACTGTTTTACTGCATTAATTAGTAATATAGGGTATGTCAACATCACTTGCACCTGATGATTGATGGACCAGCCTCTGTGGAACGAGGGACGAGCCCCTGGGGATCAAGTGATGTCAGAAAATTTATCCAATTACATTAAACATTCAAATATTACTCTATGCTAGGTGTAACTACATTGCAATTTTGAAATTCATCATATTACAGAGAATTATGTAATGGATTTTGTTATAATGTAATGTGAGCTAGAGGGCCAGGTAAGTCAATGAAATTTTTTTCTAGCTCAATTTAACTCCTGGCATTGGATCAAAACAAACTTAAGGCATAGGCCAAGTTTGTCATTTGTGTCAAACATAGATCAGAATTATTATAAGTAAACAATAATACTTACAGGATTTATCCTGTTGCAATCTGTAGCAAGTGTGAACTCTGAAACTGTGCCATTCTCTTGACCAATGAAAAGTTGACGTGTCTCTGGTGTATAGAACATTGACGTACATCCTGATGGCATATACTGACAGATGCTCGGCCAGTACTGACCAGAATCACGTTTCAACCAAACTCGTACAGTTCTAAAGATAGTAAATATTTTTTATTATTTTTTTCATATTTTGTGTATAATTATATTTCTTTTTTTGGTAATAATTTAAAATTGTTTGGCAGGATAGGGTGAGAGAATGGGGCGAGAGGTGAATTTCCCCTACAACCACACACCATTCCCATGATAAGGTAATACACCGTTCTTGAGAAAAATTAAAAACAAAATCCCATAAACCCAATCTCAAAATGATAACATTTATCGTTCTTCGACCGAAGGGGGAGTCGGGGTGTCCCCTATCACAAATGTAAAGATTTCGGGTGTTCAAGTATTTCCGGGGGGCAAAAAAAAAATCATAGCCTTCTAGCTTAACCTAATTGAAATGGTTTCTGGGTGTAAAATATATAATAATCATTTCTTTATTGTTTTTAAACATAATTTATTACGAGAGTATAGACAGCAGAAGAATAAAAATACCATAGAAGTATAATAATGTGACACTAGCCTTTGACTTGGGTCTCAGGTCCTTGTCTTACTCTTACACAAAATTATATACGCTATCCAGCTTTCAATAATATTGCATTCGGTTTTCCATTTACCCATTTATAAGTTATAATAGTTTTTATTATTTTCTTGAAAACAGTACCTTTAATGTACCTTAGTACATTCTAATATGAGTGTTATTGTTATCATCGAGGATCAAACATCTACCAAATACAATACTCATTACCCCAAACTCCTGCCAAACAATAGTAAATCCAACCCTTTTTTTTTTGATGTTTTAGTTTCTGGTTCAAAAAAAGCAATATTAAAGAGAGGATTTTCTACATTAAAATGCTTTTAGTGCTCCCTTCTCCGCTGCATGTATATTTGTCAGGCATGAAGTAAACATGCAGCATTTGGTGGACAAAAAGTTGCTTTATTTGAAACATTTTTATCACGATTAATATAACAATAATAATAAAATAATAAAGCCTTTATTTTCCAAAATAATTTACATATTACATGTAGCTAGAAAATTAGTCAAATTAAAAAAAGTCTCTTATTTCAGTGTGTCTTTCAACAAGGCCTCCTCCAACTTTTTCCACTGTTTTCTGTCTGCCACTACTCTTATCCAATAATTAATATGAAGTAATTTAAAAATCAACTCGATTAAGAATTTTATTTAGGAAGTGTATTCCTAAATAAAATTTTAATATTGTTATACAACAAAAAAACAATTTTATTTTTCTTATGTATATGATTATTGTTTCATTTATTTATTTTTAATCATCTCATATAATTTAAATTTGTTTAATAATTTAAAGACAATTGAATAAATAAAGCATATATATACAGTGTATTTCGGGTATAACAACGATGAAGGGACCACTCTATTTTCGTCGTTATATCTGGAAGTCCTTACAGGCAAAGGTAACGAATTCAATACATTAGTTGCTATTCAGAATATCACTTTGTAACTGAACCATAAATTTAACTCCGAAACGTACACGCTTCCCTCCCACCTACTTAGATCTATAAACAAAAGGTAAAGGTCTCCACACTTGCTGACCATCTGTGTGGATGTAAACAAAAGATAAGAAATGTTTGTGAAAGAAAGAAATCTTTGTGTCTCTGGCGGCCGACTCCGGTCACAATATCAGCATAGGATTTCTAGGAATTTGTTACAAATGATTCATTAAAAACAGTCGCTACACACGAACTCGGGGTTACATCCAATGTCGCTATAGCCACATGAATTTTGTACTAAAATATGCTTTAAATTCAAGGGACTTAGATTTAGCGTCGCTATAGGTAAATGGTCGCTACAACCAAGGCCGTAATAAATGAAATCTACTGTGTGTATATATATATATATATATATATATATTATATATACATTGATACTTGTATGATTAGGCTATAACACTACACTACTCTTGCAATATCAGTGACAATAGGTTAAGGAGTGGCTAATTTAAAAAATTATCAGACAAGTAAGTATTTTTTATTTATCCAATTATCATATGAATAAAAACTTTTTAATCATACTATTATCGTATGATTAGCAACAGCCTTTATTTCATGTATGTGTAACTATTTTTCTGAGCATATTATTTTAGAAAGTATCAATTCTCAAGCGTCAAAATTGTGTCCAATATTTTATATATTTGTCCAACCTGGCCTTAAAATCAATCGTCATTTTATGAAAATGATTGAAAACACTTTAAAGTGGCAACCCCGTGAAGGAGTAAGGGCGTTATAAGGGAAGAGGAAAGGGAGAGAGGGGTACATTGTGATGCAAGGGAAACAAAGTGTGGAAAAGCATAAATTTAAAAAAAATATATAATTGTGATTGTCTGCAAAATATCTCTTAAAACAAAGTAGAACTTGCAGACAGGAATATGAGACAATGACAGATAGAGGATTCCCCATATTTTGTAAAGGCAGTGGTTTAAAGTATCAGTGTTGTATATAGCACTATCGGTCAGTAAGAAAACACAAAATGCATGTTTATGAAGAAGTTAGGCTGTAGAAATTGTAACATAAAAAAAAATTATAGAAAAAGTAACAAATGTTCAAAGGAGTCATTAAATAAATACATATCAGCGCCCCTTGCTATGCCAATGGCCTTTTCAACAACAAATGAACTTTGTGTCAAATGAAAAATATTTCTTGCAAGAAAATGGTCAATTCCTCTAAGAAATGCATACCTTATACTATAATTTATCTAATGAAGAAACGAAAACAAAAAGTGTCGTTATCTAAATACAACAAAACATCATTCTTCATAACAGATATAGTTAAAGGAACCGGCTGAAAAAAGTACGTTTCCGAGGGTACAAACTTTACATTTTCTCGAAGTACGTTTTCAAAAATTGCATGAAAGATTTATTAATGGAGATTATACTAAACAGTTAGTAAATACACTTACTTATCATCACAAACACTTATAACTCCATCTTCGCCAGGTATCACGACTGCAGCATTAACATCGTCGGTGCAACCTTCTAGTTTGCTTAAAAGTGCTGGCTTTTTGGTTGTAGAAAATCTATCGTTTGGGGTTCTGGGCGCAGGCTTTATTTCAGCAGCCATAGTTTGAATAAGTTACTGATAAGTGATAATTGTACCAAATAAACACTCCTAATCGTCAATTGCTCACTTTTGCTAAGAAAACGAAAAAAAAGTAAACGTCATAATAAAATTGACAATTTGACAGTGCTGCCAGCTTTTATTTTCAAATTCCGATATTATTAATGCTCTTTAATTTTTTTGCAAATTTTTACCTTTTTTTTAATTTTTCTACTTTGATGAATATCTGTGGTTTGGTTTATTTATTTTTAATCTTAATAATGTAAAATATAGCTATAGTGCCACCAACTTATCTGTTCAGTTGACAGAGTCGCTAGTGGAGTGCTTACTATTGCCATTTAAGAAATTTACCGAGGAAATAGGTGACTACATATTCATTACACATAATATAAAATAAAACAAATTTCGTGTTAATATATATATATATATATAAATTATATATATATATATATATATATATATATATATATATATAATTTATATTTTATAAAAATAATTGTGGTCGTGGTCTCGTAATTCAAGCGGTCGAACTCCAGGAATTCCTGTTTTGAAAGATGTACCCGCGTTATACTGGTTCCAATAATTCATCTTCTGAGTCACTGGAATCGGTTTCGCTATCGCTCTGACACTCTAAATAAAGGGTTCATCTAAATACGCGTCTTTTAGTCTGTATTCATTTTCAATTTTTTTCACATGATTGCATATGTTTTTCCACTGCACCGGTGTAATTTTATTAAATGCATCTTCAATTAATTGGGGCATTAGAACATTAGATTTTCCAACATTTTTGTCTGCTATGTTCCTTTTCATAGAGCTCCATATCATTTCAATTGCATTCAAGTCGCAATGATAAGGCGGCAATCTAAGAATAGCATGGCCATGACTTTTCATCAGGTTATCAATTTCGTATTCCGGAGCAGGTTTATTTCTCTTTATTAATTCATAAAGCTGAGGTTTTGTCATTTGTTCATTGAAACTTACATTGTTTTTTTCAAGCCACTTCTGCATATCAGCCTTACTGTGGTTTGAATTAGGACACCTATTTACGCAAATACTATGGTATGGCGCATTATCCATTACAATGAGCGAAGGTTCATGCAGATTAGGTAGTAATTTTTCATATACCCATTTTTTGAAATTAATGCTATTCATTTCATCATGGTAGTCCCCATATTTTGTATTTGATTTAAATACGAGAAGGGCATTCTCCACAAAACCTTTTTCTCCACCTGCATGGATTATGATCCACCTATTACCTTTCGAAACAGGTTCCAAATCACCATCTTCTTCAGGACCTTGCCAACATTTCCCAGTTGAGTGAGACGAGTGAATGTAAGTTTCGTCTAAATAAATAACAGGTCTTTTTTCACCACGCTCATTTTCTTTAATTTTTTGTAGGTAGGTTGCTCTCCATGCAACTACGTCGTTACGTTCGCACAACACTTTTCTATTTGATTTCGTTTTCTTATAACGAAATCCTATTTTGTGAAGCAATTTTCGAAGAGTTTCACGTTCTCCTTTGAAATCAATATCTTCCTTTAAAATACTCAGTAATTTGGGTATGGTAGGGATTTCTTTTTTCACTGAATAAAATTCGTGAATTTTTCTTCTTATAACACCAATGTCAAAATTATCAACTTCTTGCTTCCCGGTTTTTCTTTGCCTTTTTTTGCCAGGGGTAGAAATTTTAGAATTGGATTCTTCAGCGTGTTTCTCTTCATTTACGAGTTTGTGTACAAATCGCTCAGAAACACCTGTAACGAAACGACAAATAATTATTGTATAGGTAAAATTAAATAAATGTAAGCCCGTGTATATGCCGTCACTAAAGCTACTTCACAGACCACAAACTACAAAGCTAGGTACTTTAGACGAATTACAGTAAATTGAGATAATTTTTTTACTATGTTTTACAAGTACATTATTTGGTGATTTTAATTTTCCATATCTGGCAATACTAACCAGTCGCGGCAGCAACGCGCTCATACAGCTTTTCAAATGGTATAGTTGGGGCTTGTACACGTTTCTCTTCTTTCATAAAAGATAAAACTTTTAGGATAATCTGTCGCGCATCACTTTTAAGAGCTTTAGGCATTTTAATTGCACTTTTTAAAAACATTCACCTGATAGCTCAGAATAAATAATAACTGACAGCGAAATGTCATTTACAAAATGGCGGCATTAGTTCCAATTTTGTCCACCTGAACAGATAAGTTGGTGGCACTGTAATACCACAGAAAGAAACATTACCCTTTATATTTTTCGCACAAACTAACTTCCCCGCTATGATATCTGTCAAATATTATACCCCACTTTTAAGTGGCGCCGCCCTGATGGCAGAAAAAGTCATGGATGCCCTCATTAGTTATGAAAATGTAAGAGTTAATGTTTCTTACTGAAATAAATAACGAGATTAGAAATAATTAAAGCAAACTGTGGACATTCCTAAAAGTAGAAAAATTGAAAAGGGAGTTAAAGAATGTATAACAGTTTAAGAGCTTATTTAAACAATAAGTATAAATAATTTACGTTATCGACGCGAAGCTATTTTCCCTAAAATGATCAGTTAGTTTCTATATTAGAACGTTTTATTTTATTTAATAAATATTTTTTTCTCTGAAAGAAAGATAAGCTTTGAATTAACTTAAGAGTCATGCGTTACATAGCAATGGGCTACGTAATACAAGTGAAGTAATTTAAAAAAAAGGTGAATGGTTTGTCATTATTTAGAAGTATGTGTTACATATGTATAGTCGCGGCACGTAAGTCTAGCGCTGATCGAACCGTGGAGGAGACACGCATGAATTAAATTGCACGATTGCAACTGGAGAGCCAGTCAACGCGTGCGTACGATAGAGCCAATGAGCGCGACATATGCGCAATAACGGTCACCACTAGACTTTCGTGCCTTACTTATAAGGACAAGTGGTACACGATAAGTTAAAAAGAGACAGCTAAATGCTAGAAAGAAATAGTATTATATACAAGACAAAAAATAATAATGTTTTTAAAACCATGTTAAAATGAGATAAAAACGACAAACTTGAATGTAACTTCTAAAATAATCCAGTACATGTTTAATGAATGAGTGACAATAAAATCATTAAGTGAAATATACAACACATCATGCACAAATTTTTACATTTTGCAAGCCTGTTGTGAAATAATTATTTCCATACATAAATTATTAATTCAATTAAATTATGATACACATTTGATACACATTTAAATATTATTCAATTTTAGTTATAGTTCAATAAGAAGCAAGCATTACATAAACCCAAATACAAAAAAGTCATGATAATTGATGCTCACTATAATTCCTGTGGTCACTTTCCTGATCACTTTTTTTTAGCTGCTATCATCACCTTCGATTTATAAACGAGGGCACGGAAAGCTTGACCAACCTCCCCAGGCTCTTGTAGTCTCCAGTGGTAAATAAAAAATTACTTTCAATAAGAATTATGTAATAATCAATATTGAATAAAAAATCATTCTATTGGGGCATGTTACATTGTCAATATTATCATGATCCTAGTATCGCAATATCGCAAGTATTGAAATTGGGCTATTACATTGTCAATAATATCATCATCAGTATGCCGTTGAATTCACTAGAGTAAAGTGGTGTTTCGTATAAGAAAATTGAATAAATTTGAAATAAATCATCGATAATAATAGAAGCAATAGCTATTCTACTCGCATGCGCGTTGAAAAATATTTTTTTTAAAACTATTCAAAATGTATTTATTTCGAATTACAAAGTTGACAGAAGTCGTTGTCAAAACGAAGTGGCCGCATCCAAGAGCTCTACCTCATATCTTATGCAACCAAAAGCGCTGACTCTACATTTACTGGATACTGCCCAATATTATTGAAGCCAGTATCGCGGATTTCCAATTATTCGGATAACTTGTGATATTATCACGATACTGCGATACAGCCTATTATACTATCAATATTATCATGATATCGTGATAATATTGACAATGTAACATGCCCCATTGCATGCAAAAGCGCAAGGTATATTCTACTATCGCCTAAAAATTAAGATTCCAACGTTTTATCGAATAAAATCGTATATAGCAATCATATTATACATATAAATGATATAAAAAGCACATTGTTAGAAAGATAAATTATTGTTGAACTTATTAATATATTTTTTAAATCGATTAATTGCTATTTTTAAATAAAAAAAGGGGTTTTAGTGGCTTATGGTGTGGATTTATCATGTCCCCAAGGCTTGTAAACACAATAACTTTTGAAAATATCAATTGTTTAACTCAATCTATTTTTTAATCTCTTCATCTATCATGTGGGAAGCCACTGAATGTAAATGGCAGTGTAATTTTGTTTTGTTTAGCTATAATTAATTTTTTTCGGCTCCAAAATAGCGAAATTTTCGTTTTATTTGGTAGCCTTGTATGTAAATTATTTCTGTAAACGGGGAGCTACAGCCACAGAGTAGTTTACTCACCAGGCCCGGTCAACTTTGTATGGGCGGAATGAAATGCCTACGGGGGCTAAATTTCATTATTGCCATTTGTCAGATAAATGTCCTGTGTAACAATTAGTAATATTTTGCTAAAGATGAATTAGAAACTCTCAAATTTAAATTTTTCTTATGAAGATTACTATCTCTGCCACATTTTTTTGCGTTATTATATTAACATATCATTGACAGAAAAGGAAAAAAATGTTCTTTTTTTGTTTTGATTTTTAATGAGTATAAAATTATATTCGTTTCTGGTAGCACTAAAAACAAATAAGGCGCCGTTGGGTTTTGGCGGGAACTTGACCGGCGTCGGTTTGCTGCTCCTGTGTTATTGTTTAAATAATGGTTTGAAGTGGACTTTGATATGTAAAAGTGGTGCGATTTTGTGTATTAACTGTCTACGCATGTGAACTATTAGTGGAAACGGTGAAACAAGTGCTCTGATGGTGACGGATTCTCAAGATAAGCTGTTTGTCTACATATGCGCCTTTAGATACCATCGCCA